CTCTCCAGCCCGAGGCCACTGGTGCAGAGCAGGCCGCCCGCCCCTGGGCACCGAGCCCAGAGCCTGCCACCCCTCCACTCACGGGCTCCGTGCCCCCTCCTGCTCGGCAGCAGCCAAGGTGCAAGGGTGTCTTGGCTCTGCTGCTTGCCTCTCCTTGGAGGAGGTGGGGCTGGGTTCCTAGGCAGGGGGTGGGACATGGGGAGCAGGTGGACTAGCTCCTACCTGGGCCTGGGTCACAGGTGTCTCCAGGGCTGGGGAGGAGACAGAGACAGATGGATGCTCTGTCCTACAAACAGAAACCAGACTGCACTCCATGTGGCGGCCCCCTTTTCTCAGCGTCACTTAGGACCACCACCCCACTCCCTCTTGTCACTGAATCCTGAAGCTGGAAGAACCCACAAGTGCAGCCCTCCCCACTCCCTCTGCAATCTACAGGAAAACTCGGGGCAGGTGGAGGACTGCCGCATTCCTTGTCGCAGCCGGAGTCGGGGACCTCTACGGCCGTGGCATTCTTCCCCAGCCACGGCCTCTGTTTCTCTCCACCGCGTCCTCCCACCGTGGAATCCGGACTCCTCCTGACCCTGGTCCTGAGGCTGAGATCAGCAGAGGCCTGCGGGGCCAGCACGGGGCCAGCGATGTGCAGGGCTCCTGGGGGCGCGGGGCAGGGGCTCGCGGGGCGGAGAGGCCGGCAGGCAGCGCTGGGGGCAGGTGCTGCAGGCGCCCAGGAGCTTGTGTCGTCACGACATCTGCTCAGACCACAGCAGGAGAGATGCAAGGCAGATTTTAAAAGGAACTTGTTCACCAGGAGTGAGGCAGTAAGACAAAGGAATGTGGGATCCTGGAAGGTTCTGGAACGCTCCTCGCTCCTCGTCTGCTCTTGAGAACTTGAAAGAAAAGCCCTGGATACTTCTAGACAAGGATCTAAGAGTTCCCAGCAGGGGGGGGGGGGCTTTCTGCCTGTGGGGTGCAGGAGGGGTCTCCCAGGCTGCCTGTGGGGTGAGTTTGCCCACACCCTCAGCCCACCATTCATGAGAGGGTGGGAGATGCCAGCACTGCACAGGGGCTGCCAGGAGCTAGAGGAAGAGGGAAGAGGACCCCTGGTCCACCCCCAAGTTCCCGGGACTCCTTCACAGCCTGGCGGTCCCCCCCCCATCTGTGCTCTGGACTTTCTCTGCCAGCACCTGCTCCTTCCCTGGAAGCAGCAGCTCCTGCAGGAAGCCACGTGGGGGCCGCGGTGGGCTCCCGGGTGTTTTGGAGACAGCATGACCCCTAACACCTGCTGTCACCAGCTCTGCGTGGCCAGAGGCTGTGCCAGGTGTGAGGTAGGTGGTCTCATTTCATCTCTAGCTGCTCTTCCCCTCATCGGAAGCCGGGGACAAACACCAGGCTCAGAGCGGTGAAGTAACTCGTCCATGGTCACAGAGTGAGTAAGAGGTGGCACGTGAGTTTTGGAGACTGTACCCCCAGCCAGGCTGCTCCACCCCGTGTGGCCTCTTTGCAACCCACCAGCCCCCTCCAGAGCCCCTTCCTGGATTAGCTCAGGAAATAAAATTCAACCTGAGGTTCGGCCAAGGGGCTCCCGGCTCCTTCCCACACAGGCACCCCCATACCTCCTCCCGGAAGCCCCCAGAGCCCATCCTGTGGCGTTATAAATGTTTCCATTCTTCCCCCACCGTGAACACCAGGTGGATGTGTAATATTACTTCCCAAACACAGTGTATCAGGGTGGGCAGGTAGCTCTGGAAGGCTCGAGGGGTGTTGGGAGACCTGGCTCCGTGTCTGAGCTCCAGTCTGCACGGCGGCGGGGCCCCGGGCCAGGCCGTCCTCTTCAGCTCCCCCACCTGCCAAGTGCAAGGGCGGGAGACGCAGCCCATGTGAACCCGGAAGGACTGTGTGCACGGGACCGCTGTTTGAGTTTGAAAAGGTGCTCTCTTCTCTCTAGCTCTCCACACCCTGCCCTGACTCCTGCTTTTGGGGACTCAAGAGACCTGGCATTCTTGAGGCAAAAGACAGTGCTATTGAGGCCTGGGACAGAGTACAGAACGCCAGGTCCTCTTTCCCACCTCCTCCTCTCACCCCATGCCTCAGTTTCCCTTCTGTACTTTGTGGGTAAGATCAGGAAGGCAGGAGAGAGAGAAGCAGGGAAGGCCAAGGACCTGCAGTGTGTGCACCTGCTCTGGCTCTTTCCCCTTTGACCGCAGGAACCCCCGACCCCGGACACCCCAGCCGGGTGCTCACTTCATAGTTGATTCCACACCAAGGTTGCTGCAGGCTGACATGCATGGGCAGGAAGTACGCTCCCACGTGTGCAAACATGCACACACAGGTGCACGCACACACACGCATGGGCTTCAGGCATGACTACATGTTTGCTGTTTGTTGCTGGAAGTAGTAGTATCCCCTGGGATTTCTCTTAAACATTGGTCTGACACTCCCACCTCCTCACCCCTGCCCGGCTCAACCCAGGTCTTCTCCCTCCCCTCTCAACTGTATGAATATTTTTATTCAAATAAATCAGCAGGAAGAGATTTCAAGTTCAAAGCCCTTTCCCAAACTCGGTGATGCATGGTTATAAAAATAATGCTAAGAAGAGAAAAGTGACCTTTATTTCTAATCTATAGTCCTTGATGACTTCTGGCTTTTCTTTTCTCAAGAAAATAGATTTTTCTTTCAGTTATTAAAAATAATACAGGTTCACATAAAAATATTCAGCCAATGCAGGAAGCCTGGAGCTGTGATCGGAAGCTTGCAAAATTTCGCTGTGCACATCACCACCATCCACACCCCAGTGAGTGGTCTTTCAGACCAGGAAAAAAACACACGCCCTCACCTCACAGCCTCACAGACATTTTGATATAGAAATGAGGTGGTATTAGGCGACTTCTCCCCTGGTCTGCCATTCTTTCGCAACAATGTAGCATGAGCATCTCCAAATGGCATCCGCCAACTCCCACTGCGGGGACTCTCAGTGTCTCAGATTTGTATTTGAGCCTGCTTCTTATCACCTCTCGGAGCAGAATGAATTGGTGGGTGGTCCTGAGGGATTGGGGAGGGGGACTGAGAGCAGGGCTATGCCTGGGGCTGTGTGTTTGGATGGACTGAGGCATCACGGGGGACCTGCAAGGAGTGGGAAGCTCGCCCCGCTTTGAGAGAGGAGCGAAGCAGCTGAGAGATGGGATGGCAGATTCGGTGGCAGGAGCTGCCCTCGAGGGATCTGCCAGGTTGACCTTGGAGCAGGAAGCCACGCAGGGCGCTGGTGGGGCTGCAAGCCTGGGGAAAGATGGATCTGGAAGCAGGAGGTTGGAGAAGCAGGATGGAGGGAGGTGAGGTGTCCACCCGAGTTTGGGGTGACTTCAAGGAGGAGTTTCGACTTTTTTCTTGGATTTATTTATACCCAACCTCCTTCTCCAAAGGTGTTACAGTAGCTTTCAACAGAGGACACATGCAGAAAGGTCAGGAAGCTAGAAATAGAAAAGCTGGACCAGGGACGGCCTCTGCCTGGAGCACAGGACAGCAGCCGGAGCCGGAGCCCCGCAGGAAGGGGCCCTGCTCCCTCCAGGCCCCGGGGATGAGCTGGTGAGAAAAGCAGATGAAAGTCAGAGGACCAAGAGGAGGACAGGACACAGCTGATGCCAAGGACACTGAACCAGAATGAAAAACTCTGCATTCAGTTTTTTTCTCTTCTCGAGGGCATGAGCTGGGGGACCATGTCACCTTTCCCTTCTCAAAGGCATGAACTGGGGGACCATGTCACCTTTCCCTTCTCGAGGGTATGAGCTGGGGGACCATGTCACCTTTCCCTTCTCGAGGGCATGAGCTGGGGGACCATGTCACCTTTCTGAGGCTCTGCCTCCCCATCTGCAACACCGCCATAACAATATCTGGGTCAACATCTTTTGCAGGTTACCTGACCTTCCCTGTGAACACCTTGCATGGGCACACATCCGAGGGCTGGCCATTTGGAGGGCTCTACTGGTGCATACACAGCACAGCTGTGCCCCCAGCAAGGGAGGAGTGGAAGAGAAGCCGCATTTACGGTGCCTGCCATCCCTGAGCCCACCTACCACCCCTCCAGGAGTACCCACAGCTCCTTCCTCTAACCCAGGTGATTGGATCAGGGGTGGCGCCTGACTCCAGGGCAGCCAATCCACAATGAGGTGTGTGTTGGCTGGACACAGCACGCTGCACCGGCCGGCCCATTTTCTAGTGGCGCTGGCCAAGGGAGGTCTCAAGGAGAGAGGGAGCTGGCATGAGAAGTGGAGAGAGAGCAGGCTCCATGACCCGGCAGAGGAACCATGCAAAGACACTCAGACGCTGGGCGTGGCCAAACCACAACCTACTGCTGCTGAAGCAACCTGCCCCAACCTGGCGGGCCTCAGACAGCAGCCCCGTGAGTGTCTCCCTTGGCTCAGAGGGTCAGGAAATGAGGAGGGCTTGGCCAGGCCATTCTACAGCACGTGACCCTGACAGAGGTGGGGGCTGGCTGCTCCAAGGCACTTTCATGCTCACATCTTCTGGGGTGTCAGTGGGGACGGCTGGAAGCCTCCGCTCAGCAGGGCTGGTCAGCAGGAGCCGCCTCCAGTGTGGCAGTCCCGGGGGGAATTGGACATCTCGTGTGGTGGCCTGGGGCTCTGGCACTACAATGGGGTTGGGTGCTAAGAAAGGACGTTTTTAGCACCCATGCCAGCTTTGCGCCTCCTGCTCCCCGAGGCTTCCAAGCGTCACCCTCCGGGGCTCTGCACACCCTGCCCTCTGCTTGGAAGACGGCCCCTGCAAACAGGCTGACGCCCGAGGTCCTTTCTTCGAGAACCCTCCTCTCACCTCCCTCCACAGTCCTCGGTGCTGGAGCCTCGGGGAAGGCAGGCGGTATCCCTCTTTGGCTGTGAAGGCAATGAACTCATAGGGGAAGGAGACCAGGCTCCGTGGTGGCAGCCGCCTGCCGCACAGCCCGGCAGGGCCTCTCCCGCTCGCCCGCAGACACACACAGCCCGGCCCCGCGCTAGAACACTGCAGCTTTATTGATGGAAAGAACCGCGGCCGCGACGACAGGTTACAGTGGGGGATTGGGGACGGGACGGGGCAGAGGGAACAGAGGCTGGGATGGAGACAGAGAGCAAGGCAAAGGGGTGAGGACGGGGTCGTGAGACTCAAAAATAACCCCGCTGCGTTTCACCCATGAGGAAGGGGTCTCCGTTGTGCTTTTACCTTGGTGGGATGGGCTGGGGCCTGGGCACGAGGGGTTTTGGCTTTTCTCCCGAGTCTGTGAGGCCTCCGGGCTGCAGCAGTCCCCTCCGCTTCCCCTGCCCCTCCTGTGGCCCGGGATAAGGCCTTGGTGAGCAGGCCGCCCCCCGCCCCGGGGCAGGACGGGGGCTCAGGCGTGGGGCACAGGGGCCTGCAGAGTTGGGCGGAGATGGTGTGGGCAGCTGTGAGGAGGCAGGGGCCTCCCAGCAGGGCCCCTGGGGAGTGACCACAAGCACCACCAGGGGAGGGGGCAGGGCTGCGGCCATCTCCCTGGGCCTCCACTTTCTCACCTGTCCCGTGGGCACTGACTAGCCACCGGCAGGGTCCCTTCCAGCTGCAAGGGTCAAGGGCTCTCCAGGAAAGAGCAGCTCTTCTGCTCCGACACACACACACACACACCCTTAAACTCATACACACACACACACCTATTCATATCCTTACACACACATACACATCCCACACGCACCCTCAGATACGGGAACCCTTGAACACACACACCCCTTCCTATTCTTGTTCTTACACAAGCACACCCTCATTCACACCTTCTCACACACACACACTTAGACACACCCTTAGACACACCTTAGTTTTCCCATTCACACCCTCACACACACACCCAACAGAGGAGGACTTCCCTGAACCCAGAACCCAACCTCAACCAGTGGCCCTACAGGGACTCTGCAGAGCAGGTGCACCTGGGACCAGCCCGCAGAAATACCCCCGCCCCCAGAGCCATGCAAGGAGGAGAAGAAACCAGCAGTGGTCCTGAGGGGCTCAGGAGGATGAGGATGGGTTCTGACCTTCGTCTGCAGCCCAGGCTGCGGCAGCAGAGAGGCAAGGAGGGAGAACGGTCCCTCCTGTCTAGATGCGTGTTGGGGGCAGGCAGCAGCTGCGGCCAGAGGTGACATCTTCCACGCAACACCCGGGCCTGCCATGTGGCCTGGGATGAGAGGCCAGAAACTGGGGCAGGGAGACCCTTGGCTGTCCCAGTGCAGAAGCTCAGAAACACCTGAGATAGCTCCACCCAGTGCCCTGGAGACAAGGCAGTTTGACCAAGCTCCTCGAAGCTGTCTGGCCGGAGAGCCCAGGGGCAGTGCGCAGTGAAGCTGCAGAACCTGGAGTCCAAGGCTGGCTCTACCCACAGCTGGCTGTGTGGCCTTGGCCGTCCCTCCCGCAATCGGCTTTGCCATCTCGTCTTGCACCGTGCAGGGTCTGGGCTGCTGAGGCCAGGAGCTCACAGAGCACATGGGACAGGAGAGTGCACGGGGAAAGGTGCAGAGCCCCTCCCAGAGAGGGCCAGGGCAGGAGAAGTGTGGTCCTCAGGCCAACTCTGCACCCCTCGGAGGCTGTCCGGGGTCCCGGGGGGCAGCAGGAGGGCCAGGCTGAGGTGCCCCACTGCTGCTGTTCAGTGCCTGGCTCCAGGGGTCCTCTCCAGCCCCTGACCCCAACCTGGAGGGGTCTGAGTGGAAGGAGTCCACCACGCTGAGGGCTGCCCCTGGACGCTCAGCTTTAAGGCCACGGTATGCCCCAGGCACCCTGCCCCAGACGGCAAGCCCACCCACGGGAGAGGCACTGGTCCAGCCAGCCTAGTCTCCCTGGGACTGGGGTATTTGTGGGTCCCAAGCCAGCACAGACAACACCAACATGGAAGCACCCGGTGACATGCATTCCCCCGCAGACCCACTGGCACACACGCATGCACACACACCAAGGCAGTCACAGCACCACTCACACACAGACCTCCGCACACGTGCACGCACACACGCGCAAGGGCGCTGGCGTCCCTGCAGTCACGCCAACCAACCACGCGCTCGCAGCTACGTGCGCGCAGTTCCGCTCAGCTAGCGCGTTCTGGGCACCTTGTCTGTGCCGGCCTGAGTGGGGCAGCGGGCAGGGGGCGGATGAGGAAGCCCGGGAGGAAGTGCTCAGGGCTGTTCCTCTCTGGACCCCAGGCCCTCCCCTGCAAGGGCAGAGGAAGCATGGGGTGGGTGATGGGCCGGAGGGTGCCTCCTGGGTTCTCTGAGGAGCTCTTGAACCAGGATCCACGGGGGGGGGCATGACTCAGCATTTCTAAAAGATGGGGATGGGGTTGGTAGGCTGCAGGCCATGGGGCAAAGCCACAGTGAGGCTGCATCCCAGGCCTGTGCATGCCCGCCATGAGCGCGGGGAGGGGAGCGGGTTGGAAGGCTCGGAGGAGGAGCTCACAGTCTAGTTGGGGGGGGGGGGGCAGAGACTCTGCACAGATGGGACAATTAAGGAACAGCTCCCAGCAGATGCGACGGAAGCCTGTGCTGGGGGCTTGGAGTGACTCATGCGGGACCAAGGCCTTGGCCGCGCCAGGAAGGCAGCCCCGCTGGCTGGAGTCAGGAGGTCCCCCCGCAGCCTGGCCCGGCCACCCACCAGCTGTTGGTGATGATGCTAATGCAGGCCTGGCGGATCAAGGAGCTGGGCAGCGTTGGCCCTGGTCCCTGCCTGCCGCCTGGCACTGTGGTGTTGCCCGCATTCCAAGCCCCTTCTCTGCAGCTGTCCCTGCCGTGGCTCCAGCAGGAGCCCTGTGACAGCCCCCACCACAGGTGCCTGCCTTCAGTGGGGTCATCTGTAAGCTTTCTGTCTTCCTTAGGGGTTGGGAGGCGGGATTTCAGGCAGCAGGAGGCAGCCGGAGCCTACAGGATAAGGCAGGAAGTGGTCCATCTGGCCAGCATCCCACCTAACACACCAGCCACTCAGGAAGATGGACACGCACACTCTCACACACACTCACAGCGATGGGGAGAGACCCAGCCTCACTGACAGATATGTGACATTGCACACGCAGGCCCACACTGCACACACTCCTCCTGCCCCGTGATGCACCCACGGTGCGCACAGATGCAGACACACACACACAGCCACAGGCACACACACATAGACTCATCCTGGAAGGGGCTGGGCGTCCTCTCTCCTGGGGACAGCTGAGCTGGGGCTCAGAGACCATGTTGCGATCCAGATCCCATGACGACCATCTCAGACGCCCAGCCCAGGACCCGAGGACACGGAGCCCCTTCACAGCTCCCAGGGAACAAGAGGACCAGCCACTGCCCCTACCCGTCACCCTCAGCTCCTCCACAAAGCCTTGCTCCTTCACCGACCCTGGCTGGAAGAGGGGAGGGCCAAGCAGATGCCACACACCCTGCTCTGCAGGGCAGCCTGTCAGGCCCAGAGCACAAAGACAGAGGCTGCACGGCACTCCCCAGTGCAGCGTCCTACACGGAGGTGGGAGGGGACAGAAAGACATCTCCTCCGCCCGCTGCCCCCGCTCCTCTGAGACCCAGCTGGGCTGTGCTCTGGGAGGCCAGCTGCAGGCCACAGGTGTCAGTCCTCACACCGCCCAGGCCCCAGACCCTGGGCCGTGGCCCAACAGAGGTGTCACAGGGAATGAGGAATAGGGAGTCTGGCGGGGGGGAGAGGGGGTCTCTTCCAGCTGGCCCGCTCTCTAGGAACAGTGGCCAGCAGCAGGTGCCCACCTTCCTTGTTGTCCCCAGGGTGGGGGACGGTCACACAGCTCACACAGCCGCACCTGGCCCTCCTCTGGCCCCTGCCTCCCCATCCCAGGGAGTCCCAGTCTGCCCAATGGCAGGCGTCCATTCAGCAAAGCCACTGGGCTGGAGTCGGGGCTTGAGTTGGGGGTGGGGGAGTCAGGAACACTCCGCAGGTGCAGCCAGGGAGAAGCCTGTGTGGCGCCGAGGTCCCTGGGGTGGCGGGTGCTGTCCCGACTGAGTCCCTGGCTCCACCATAAAGAGGTGCTGGCAGGTCAGATAGAAACTTGTGCTTTAATATCTATGTGTGTGTGTGTGTGTGTGTGTGCGTGTGCGCATGTGTGTGTCAAACAACCGTCTTCAGGGCCTCGGTGCCGGGTGCCTGTCCTTGAACTCTCTGCTCATCCTTGCAGCCGATGCAGGCCCCCTCCCTGGCGGGCTGGCCCTGCCCCTGGGCACCCCGGCTGGCGGGGGTCAGTCTTTGGTACGATGTGGACACTTTGGTGTGCCGGGGGCGGGGTGGGGAGCACGCAGCTCTCATCATCTCTGCATCGCCAAGAGGAAGATGGCCATGGGCCCCCAGAGCTGCGGGCTGCACTGGCGGGGGGCTCTGCTGCCGGGCATCACCACCACTGTGACGGGAGAGAGAGAGAGAGAGAGGAGACAGGCCAGGACTCCGGTCAGCTTGGGCAGGGAGTGGGGACAGGGTAGCCATGGGGGGTGCCTGGCACTCTGCCCTGGGTCTCTGGGGGACACAGACACACTCATATACATACATATAGGGGTTAACCCGGCCTGCTAGTGGGCTCACAAAGGTGCAGAGCAATTTATTCAACCTCAACAGCCTTTGGTGTCCTGATCTGTAAAATGGGTCTAATAGGACCGTGGCAAGGGCGAAGTGAAACACGCTTATGCAGGCTTTTGTGGCTTGCTTGGTACTCAGTAAGCTGCTGCTGTTGCTGTTGGGAACACCTGGTCCCCGGAAGGCCCACATTCCTGTCCAGGGCTGCAGGTATACAGAGACACTCAGACACTATAAACACTGCAGTCAGCTTGCAGGGAGGGCGGCCCTACAGTCTGAGTCAGGTGGGGCCAGGTGGGTGCACACTTGCAGTCACAGACACACGGTTCCCGTCACCCAGGCAGTCCGAACGCCAGGCAGACAAAAGCCCCCTCCCACGACAGGCACCCTCCCCCTACAGCCTGCCCCCCACAGGTGCAGCCCCATGCTGCCACCTGCCCCGCCCTGCACCTTTGTTGGGATCCATCTGCTTCCGGGGACACTCTCCCTTCTTCAGTGTGACGTCATCGATGGCGATATCCCCCAGGTAGCCAGAGCCTCGAACCCCCTCAAAAATAATCTGGGGCGGGGTCAGAGAGCAGGGAGCAGGAGTTTGGCAGACTGTGACAGACACAGCGGCTGCCCTGCCCCACCCAGCCTGTTCCCCTCAATCCACCTGGAAACCCCCCAGGCGCTAGCATTACGGCCTGCTCACGTGGCCCTCCCTGGAGCGCCCAGCAGCCTCACCTGGAAGGGCCCACTGGGGTTGATGGGCACGTGGGCCTGCTGCCACACGTTGCCCTTATTGCCGCTCAGGGACCAGGCGTGCGTGTCCAGAGCCCCTTTGTTCCGGGACCGCACCAGGAGGTTGAGGGAGCCTGGGGGAGGGGTGGAGAAAGGGGGCAGTGAGGTCTGGCAAGGCCACCCTGAGCCTTCCCCACCTGCCACAGATGCCCTCCTCCCCTGCCCGCCACCAACCCCTCCCCTCTAACAGCGGTGCTGGCTGTCCCAGGGCACTGGGACCTACGTGTGAGCACAGAGCGTGCCCCTAGCCCCGCACAGTCTCTGGAGGTAGAGCAAGCGGTAGTAACAATTTTAGTGCTAATTTGCATATTTTATATGGCGAATAAAGCTAGCTCTCCAAACCCAGATGTCTCTAATAACCATGCTTAAGACAATGCTAAAAGAGAGAATGAAACGATCGGGAGAAAGACATCAACACACGTGCTACAGAGCTCTGGGGAGAATGAGTGTGAGACTTTGGGGGCAGGAGCCTGGGGCTGCTCAGCCCTTGTTCCCACAGCCACTGGGACCCGGGAATCTGCATCCAAGACACTGGAGAAGGAAGGGGTGATGGCTTGGCTAAGAGTACCTAAGCAGTCAGTGCCCCCTCCCTGTCCCTTCCAGCCCCGCCCAAACCCCCAGTGACATGAAAGAGCTGGCTCCGAGGGAAAGGAATCAATCTTACACAGCGCCTGGTGGCTGCCATTTGCATGGCACTGCCCACAGACAAAGACACACCATCTGTGACACCAGACAGACCCCCCGGTGGGGGAGAGCCACCAAATGTTACCTGCCTGGGATGAAAGGAGTTGGCTTGGACCAAGGAGAGCCGGCGAGACACAAGGTCTGGGGACAGCTGGTGCCCAGAGCTGCCAGGCAGGGGGGAGGGGAGGGGAGGAGGGGCCAAGACAGCACGGAACACTGCCTCCCTGACAGCACAGGCAGGCCTGGGGGGATCCAAAGGTTCAGGGCACTTGGGCCCTCCCAAAACAAGATGGGCCCCAGAGGGGGTGGCAGCCAGCACCCTGTAGGACAGGAAGTATCTGCCCCGGTTTCCGAAGGGCCCAAGTTCCAGTGTCTTTCGGGGGGCACTCACCAGCCCCAAAAGGACTGCTCTTTCTTCCGGCTCCTGGAGATCTGTCCCCACCCCCTGGGGTTCAGCCTCAGTCCCCCTACCCTGTCTTCTTCCTCCCACTCCCCTTCCCTGGTGGGGAAGCCTGCTTCCACACAGCTCAGACAACCAGCGATTTCTTGCCCAACACGCTGAGCACCCCGTCAGGCCCCAGCCCCTCCCTGACTGGGGCTTCCTGAAATCCCACCATAGGGGCCAGCCAGGGCCAAGACCCTGAGCTCCCTGAATGGTGGGCCTGCCTGGGAGCACCGGGAGCTGGACAGTGAGATCCAGACGCATGGGAGGGACAGGTTCCTGGGGCAGCACAGTCGGCTGACCACAGCTCACGCTTGTTCTTTAAAAGAAGAACAGGAGGAGGAGCTGCAAGAGTCGTAGCTCAGGGAAAGGATGAATGTCCTAGGAGCTGCTCATTGCCCTGACCTGACCTCCACACACTGTGTACTGTACCAAGTCATCCCACTGTACCTCACTAATACTGCAGCTTTAATTATCTGAATATATAACAAGTTGACACGTAATTGGTATGGGATGTCAAAAAGAAATGATTTCTCTGAGAAAGAACGGTTCTGTTCACGACTTCCTCCACATCGCCCGCCCACCTAAAAGCCAGGTGGACCCAGGCGCTGGTGTCTGGAAGCACTCCAGCTACCCGGCCCCTGGGCCTTTGCTCAGGCAACTCTTCCCTCTATTGGAGACGCCTTCCCCTAGCACTTTCCCCCTGGACAAATTCTTCCTGCTCTTAAAGGTCTCTCTAGGAAGTCTTCCTCAGCTTGACCAAGCCGGAACCTCCCTCACACATTCATTCACTCATTCCTTGAACTAACTGGGCATCACGACGTGCCAGGCACTGTCCCAGGCACCCGGGACGAGACAAAGACCTGGGCCCTGTGGCACTTATGTTCCATAAAGAACATGGAAGGGCAGAGAAGTCTTCTGGAAGGGTGGTCGGGGACCTCGTGTGGAGACGCGAGTGAAGGGGGGAGGGAGGGATGTCCCGGGCTGGGGGAACATCTCACACAAAGGCCTTGCTGGGCAGGGAGGTGCTTCGGGGCTGAAAGGAAAGCAAGGAGACCCGTGCACTACAGCTGAGTGGCAGGCAGAGGCAGACCAGGCGTGCAGGGCGGAGACGATGATGCTGGGAGCCTTGGGGGGTGGAAGGGGGGCTGAGCAGGGGAGAGGTGGGAGGGGCCTGAGAAGGGACACCAGCAGGGTCCCCTTCCATGGCAGCCCTGCTGGACATTTCTATTTCTGTCCAGGGACAGGACACTGCCCAGCGCCCAGGACAGCCAACTCCTTTGCTGAATAGAGTTGATGCTTTCAGGGTCTTACACAGAATTCAACTTGGTGGGCCCCTGCCGTCACCCACCCCGCAGGAAGCTCTCACAAAGCCCTCGGTGTGGATGGTTTGAGGGTCTCTGTGGACCCAGACCCCTCCATCCCACCCTGTCCTGGTTCCCAGGGCGTGGGCCGAGGCCCCTCCTCCACGCTGAGTCAGGCTGCCTGCCGCTCCTCTTCCGTGGACCAACGAAGCCCTGAAGAAGCTTCTTGCGGCTGCAAAAGGCTCCCTGGGTCCAGGTTTTGGGGGACACCCGGCTACAGGACGTGTGCAAAACAGGGGAGCCAAATGCAGCGCGGGCGTGTCTGTGTGTCTGTCCTGGCTTCTTCACGCACCAAGGATCTCTGGAACTCTGCCCCAAGCCCAGTCTACGAATTGCCTCTGGGTTTCTAGGTGGCAGGAGGACTGGCACGGGAGGGGACTTCGTCATGTACCTTTGGACCCCTGTGAAATGCGCTACACAACATAGGGAAAAGCCATTTCCCCAGGAGAGGCTCGGACAAGCACTGCTCCCGCATGGGTCGGCGCTCACTGTCTGTCCCCGGCCTCGGCACTCACCAAGCCCACGCTCGGCGGTGCCTTTCGATGTTTCGTCTCTCCTGCCGGCCCGGTGCCAAGAGGGCAGGGAACTCACCTGCCTCGTTCACGGCTGCCCGGATAACCAGGCACAGAGCAGGAGCTCCTTCACGGACATCACACTCCTATGGGGGCCGTCCCTTCCCAAAGGGCACTCAAGTTCAAGTTCACTCCTGCACTTAGGGAGCGGGACTTCCTCCCCCTGCTCACAAAGCAGCACCCTTCCAATCCTCACTTTAGGTACTAGGAAAACCTGAGACGCTGGTGGCCGTGCTGTGTGGTCTTGGGCAAATGCTTAACCTCCCGGAGTTGTTGGTAGGCGCGGCTGTGAGGGTTAAGGAGACTGCGGATGCAGGGCAGCCAGGATGTCACTGGCCCTGCAGCACTGGGTCCGACTCCTGCCCGCCCGCCCCCACCCGCCACTCACCAATGTGCTTCCCGTACATGTGGTAGAAGAAGGAGACACAGTAGAACTTGGCGCTGGCGTTGTACAGGGGACTCACCAGCCTTGCCCGGTCCCCCAGCTCCCGGGGCCTCGACGTCTCAATGAACATGTAGTAGCCTGCGGGCGAGGGGCGATGCACCAACAGGCTCCCTCCCTCCCACCCGGGCCTCCCCTACCCTCTTCCCCTCTGCCCAGTCTTCAGCTGCCTGGACCCAGGGGGCTCACCCATCCTCCCTCCCCACTGTGCAACACAGGGAGCTACACAGCATTCACGGGTTCTCAGCTGTACGGGATCCCCTGCTTCCCAAGCCCGTCAGGACACAGCTGGGCCTCCCCGCTCAGACTGGGGCTCCCTGAGGATGGGGCTGTGTCTCCTCACCCCCACCGCAGCCGACTGGGACCCCTGGGCCAACACCCTCCCTAAAGCGGTGCCCCATTGCCGGCAGCAGGCCAGGTCCTCACCCTCAGGGGTGCCGCTGATGTCGGTGGGGGGGCCGGTGTTGGGGGAGCGCTTGGGGTTCTGGGTGAGGGCATTCTGCCGTGTCCAGTCGAAGTTGTCCGTCAGGTCCTGGGTGTAGCCACAGATCTTCTCATCCTCAAAGTGGCAGGTGTTATCTGCACGGACGCCCGGGAGGGTCAGCTGCCTCGGTCCCTCCCCGCCTCCAGGCCTCCCTCCATCCCTGGAAGCAGCTCCCAGCATCCAAGCGATGGGCCCATGGTTCACGGGCTTGAGGGAGCAGGCAACAGGGCTCATGACACATTCGCTGCCTGTACCGAACTTCTTAGCCTTTTTTTCTGCCACTGAACTTTCTGGCATCTAGTGCAGCCTGAAGAGCCTGCTAGAAGAATGACTGTAGAAGTACAAAATGAAATATACTGAAAGGCAGGTGTATTTCTGAGTTTGTTACACAGTAACAAGTGAGCTCCTTCACTGTCCACTTAAATCACAAGAGCTAGGGTGAGGTTTCCTCCCGACTGCTGACGTAAATGACAGTAAGTGAGCTGAAGACAAGGGGCTTCTAGGATGACCAAGGCACAGGTGCTGTTCACACTTCCGGGGCTCGTCACCCAAGTTCGTCATGGAGGGGCACATTGGATTTCAGCCAGAAGACAGGGAAAATCAAAAACAACGTGCGCCTTCCAGGGTCTTAGATGCCCTGAATTCTACCTACAGATCCCTGGGGATGCACAGGTCACAAATGCCAGCCCACCTTCCTTCTGTCTGCCGGCCCTGGTGCCCTGGAAGCCCAGGGGGTTGTCTCCTCTCTTTGGGTGTCTCTCAGGGCCCCCTCCTCTTACCATGAGAGTGCTTATGTCCCCATGGGGAAGGGGGAGGCAAGGGGAGTGGGGGTGGGGGCTTCTCACCTGACAGGTTCGGAGAGTTGATGGCTGAGAAAGCAAGCAAGGAAACCAAGTTAGAACAAGGCGTGAGGCTGTGCAGAAAGGAGCTGGGCTTGGGACCCGGGGGCGGGGTTCTCAGAGCCAGGACTGGGGGCAGCGGGCCAGGCCTGCAGTGGCAGGCGGGAGAGCGCAGAGCAGGGAGCCCCTGGCTCAGAATGGTGGGGGGTGGAGGGTGTCCCTGGGCGTGCGCTGGGCCCACCCCATTCCCCAGCACGGCCACCTACGCTCTGTGTAGTGGATGATGCGGGAGGCCATGTCGCCAGCCCCAAAGGTGGTGTAGGGCGTGAGGCGGATCTCGTAGCTGTGGGGCACTCGCAGGTCAGCCAGCACGTACTCCAGCAGTTGCCCCTTCTCCACTCGCCGCACTGGGATGGCCTTGACCACGGTGTTGTGCTGGTTCAACTGCAGACACAGGGAGTTCCCAGATGCCCAGCATGCTGTGCCCTCCGTGACGCACCAGCCCAGGCCCCCGCATGACTTGGGAGGGGGGCAGCATGGGGGAGCAAAAAAGGCAAAGGACTAGGGACATGGGGCAGTCGCCCCTTCCCCACCTGCCTCTCAGGGCTGTCTTAACGCGAGAACACTGACAGCAACAAGAATTGAGCAACAGGGGCAGTAGCTGTAGTGCAGTGGGCTAATCCTTCCCCTGCAGTACCGGCATCCCATATGGACGCCGGTTCGAGTCCTGGCTGCTCCTCTTGGGATCCAGCTCTCTGTTATGGCCTGGGAAAGCAGTAGAAGATGGCCCAAGTCCTTGGGCCCCTTCACCTGTGTAGGAGACCTGGAAGAAGCTCCTGGCTCCTGGCTTCAGCAATTTGGGGAGTAAACCAGCAGATGGAAGACCTTTCTCTCTGTCTCTCCCTCTCACTGTCTGTAACTTTACCTCTCAAATAAATAAAATCTTAAAAAAAAAAAAAAAAAAGAACCAAGCAACAGATGCGCTGGACTGGACAGCGCTATGAATGCTTTGCCGTTACTTGCTCACTCAGTGCTCAGACATCAGTCTGGTGAGGTAGGGTATTAGAATTACTCCCATTTTACAGATCAGGAAACTGAAGCCAAAGAGATGCGGCTTCTCCAAGCTCATACCAAGCTGACTCCTCACCTCGGCAGCCTGCCCCAGAGCCCTGCTCTACCCACACAGCCCCTGCCTTGGGGCTGGGCACCAGAGACTACACTGGGCATGGGAGCAGGTCTGGTGTGACGTGAGCGGTGCTGGTTCTCCCACGGAGCTGGTGGATCCTTGCTCAGTGCTCAGTGCTGTGCCCAGAGGGAAGGTCCCTGAGGCTGCCAGCTCCCTACCGCTAACCCAGCACACTGTCCGCCTCCAGAGAGTTGTCCGGAAGAGTGAGCGCGTCAGAGCCCCTGCCTCCAACCCCCTCCTCTGGCCTCCAGCATGTCCAGCGTCCCTGCTGCCCGCGGCCCACCTGGCGGACACTGAGTCTGTAGCTGAGCACAGGGTCCACTGCGTCGGGCTCCCTCTGCGTCCACTGCAGCACATACGAGTAGTTCTTGGACAGCTTGTGGCTGCGGGTGGGGTTGGGGGTGTCGAAGTAAAACTCCGGGCTGTAGGCTTTGGCTGAGAGGGCGGGCAGGGGGCAGGGGGCAGGGAGCCGGGGAGGGTGGGAGGGTGGGAAGAGACACAGAGAAAGTAGGCATGGGAGAGGGAGGCGAGAGGAAGGGACAGAGCAGAGAGAGGGCGTGGGGGAGACAAAGAGAAAGGGGACGTTGTGAGGAGGGGAGGCATTGGGAGAGGAGGGGTTCGAGCAGAACGAAGACCAGGTAGCAGGGAAGGAGGAGAGATTGCAAATTCCAGGAAGGGATATTGGGGAGGAGTGAGGAGAAGCCCCGGAAGGGTCAGAGAAGTTTGGGGAGACGCAGAGGAGGGATATCAAGGGAAAGAGGATGGGGGGGGTTAGACACAACAGAAGGTCAGGGGTGTTGAGAGGGAAGGAAGGGGAGAGAGGAGAGGGACAGAGAGAGGCAGAAAGGTGGGGAGACGGGACACAGGAGAACAGGGGAGGAGGGAAGGAGGTGGGAAATGTCACAGGGGCCTCTGGCTGGCAGGGCTGAGGACATGGTCAGCCACCTGTGGTCCTGGCCCCCTGCTGCAACAGCAGCTGAAGGGACCCCCGGCCAGCTGGGGGTGCAGTGGACCGGGGGCCAGGCATGCCTGCTGCTGCCACCAGCGCTGGCGGGGAGCTCTCCCCAAGGGCAGGAAGGAGAGGCTGCGGGCAGCCCCCACAGCCCCTCCATGTGCCCCTCAGCCCTCACCACGCCCTCCACTCCCTTCTGACCCACACAGGGCCCGCTGCAGCCCCAGACAGTCCTCCGGGGAGTGATGTGATGAAGAGCCGGGGCAGAGGGGTTCTGGGTGGCTCCAGGATGACAGCCTGGGAAATGTGTGCTGGCTGGCTCAGAGCCACTCGGACAACAACAACAGCTGCTCTCCAAACTACAACTGGGGCCCCTGAGGGATTCTCTGTCTTGTAGCCACCGTCACCAGACAGGAGCAAGGGCTGGAAACCCCAAGGCTGAGACCGGATGGTGCCCAGGCTGAGCGGGTCTAAATGAGGTGTGGGTGGGAACGGAGGGCTGGAAACCCAGAGCTGAGATTGGACGAGGCTTTAGGATGGGGCTTAGGTTTACGTGGGCGTGGCCTCGCCCTGGTGCCTTGAAAGGGTGAGTGAGGAGGTGTGGCCCGTGCCTGGAGGGGGCGAAGCTGGAAGTCAAGGATTGGGTCCAGCTGAAATGGGGGCGGGATCTAGGCCCAGGTGGGCGGGCCTTGGAAGGGCGTGGGTCTCCGGTACGCCGATCTCGAAGGGGCGGGGCCCGACCCTGGTGGGCGTGGCGAGCGGGCGGGACCGACGGGACGCTCACCCGAGACGTGAAAGAGGCAGGTGGCCGAGCCCACGTCGTTGGAGACGCTGCACTCGTAGCTGCCGCTGCTGTCGCGGGTCACGGCGTCGAGGCGCAGCTCGGCGTGGTCGGAGGTCTCGGTGGCGGCGGCAGCGACAATGGGCGGCAGCGGCAGCAGCTGCCCTTTGAAGCGCCACACGGCTGAGGCGATGCGCTGGGGGCTCCCTCGCAGGAGCGTGCAGCGCAGGAGCACCGGCCGGCCCAGCGCCTGGCGCACGTCCTGGGAGCTGGGCTCCACCTCCGGCGGGACTGGGGGAGGGGGCGGCGGTCAGCGGGGCCCGTGGGGTCTGAGAGTGTCCTGCTACCTCCACGCTACCTCCCCGACCCCCCGGGGCCCACTCCCACCAGGCATGCGTCCCAGACTGGGTCTCCGTCATGCCTTAAGGGGGCCCCTCACCCCCACGAAGCATCAGGGTTGGACGGGTTCGGTTCGGATCCCAGCCCTGCCTCTGTCCCGCTGCCCCTGAACCGCTGCACCTGTTTCCCCATCTGTAAAGACGGGGACAACAGAATCTACTCATGGGGCTGTGGCGGGGCCACTGGGTTTGCGCATTAAAAGGCTCTTGTGTTTGGCACAAGGTGGGTTAATTTCATCATTTTGTTATCAGGGAATGTGCACCCCTTGAGGTGCCTTCCTCCTTCAAAATCCCATTTCCACCTGTCAAGATCAAGTTATTTCTTTGTTCGCCGAGGCCCTGAAAGGAAAGACGGAGGCGCACTGGACGGTGGAAGCGAGGCCAAGGACACGCGGGGGCGTGGAGGGGGCCGGGAGGGTAGGAGCCGCGGAGGCAGCGGGGGAGGGTGCACAGGGACTCACACTGCACGTTGAGCTGCACCTGGGCCTCGCGGGGCCGCACGTTGAAGCCATTGTAGCGGGCCGTCTGGCAGCGGTAGGTCCCGCTCATGTCTCGGCTCACGCGCTCCAGCCGCAGCTTCCCGTCCGGAGTCTCCTCCAGCAGTAGCCCCGACGGCAGCAGGATGGCCTCCTTGTCCACGCGGGACCAGAGGACGGGTGGCCGTGGCTTGCCCCGCACCTCACACTGCAGCTCTGCAGGCGAGCCCTCCCGCACAGTCACCACGGCTCTGCCCTTGGGCACACTGATGGTGGGTGGCACTGCGGGGTGGGGGCGCAAAGAGCAGTGGAGTTAGGGCGCCACGGCCCTGGCCCCTGCGGGGGTGCTCCTGCCTTCCTCCCTCCTCCCAGGCTTCCCACGGTCCGGCCCCCAGGGGCTCCCAGCTCTGAAGGAACCCTGCCACCTTTCAAACACTTCCACTAAACGTCTCTTCTCTCTCCTACCCCCACTTAAAGCCCTCGTCCTTCTTGCCATGGTCTGCCCCACATTCTCCTTCTTCCTCCCCAAGCAGTGCAATGCCTGGCTCTCTCAGGGCACTCAGAATAAAGACTTCTCTTCCCCGCCTGCCTATGGCTAGCGGTGGCCACACACCTACACTCTGGCCTGCAGGAGATGAGGGGCAGTGAGTCTTTAAAAGCAGCAGCTGTGTCCCTCCTCTCCATCGCCTCCCCCCCCCCCCAAGCATGCAGACAGCTGCAGCTGGAGCTGCCATTGTGGACAGGGTGGCCGGTGCTAAGGATGATGGAACAGCAACCCAGACGGAGCCTGCGGCCCTGAGGGCTTGTTGGAGCAGAGCCACCAGCCAGCCTCCCTGGAGGAAGAATTGCCGAGCCAGCTTGTGAGAGTCACAGTGGGGGATTCATAACTGAATCTGACCCAACCCAGCACCCGGCTCAACCCGAAGGTCTTTGCAAGACCTCCACGGGTCCCATCCTGCACCACTTCAAGCAAAGTAAAATGTACTCATGCATTAACATTAAAATAGCTAAGCCGCTGCTTATGATGCCAGCATGTCCTGGCTGCTCCACTTCTGATCCAGCTCCGTTTACTGAGCCTGGGAGAGCAGCAGAAGATGGCCCAGGTGTGTGGGCCCCTGCCATTCCTGGCTCCTGGCTTCAGCTTGGCCCAACCCTGGCTGTTGCAGCCATTTGGGGAGCGAACCAGCAGATGGAAGATCTCTCTCTCTCTAATCCTACCTTTCAAATAAATAAATCTTTTCAAAATGCCTTAAGTATAATCAAATATGAAGTGATTTTTTAAAAAAAGATTTATTTATTTGAAAGTCAGAATTAGAGAGAGGGAGAGACAGAGAGAAAGAGATCTTCCATCTGCTGGTTCATTCCCCAAATGATTGCAATAGCCAGGGCTGGGCTAGACAAAAGCCAGGAGTTTCATCTGGGTCTCCCATGCGGGTGCAGGGACCCAAAGACTTGGGCCATCTTTTGCTGCTATCCCAGGTGCATTAGCAGAGAACTGGATTGCAAGTAGAGCAGCCAGGAACCAAACTGGCGCCTATACAGGATGCGGGTGCTGCTGATGTCAAATTAATCCACTGTGCCCCAGCGCCGGCCCCTGGAGTGATTGTTTGTACAGCTGTCTGTAGGCAAGCTGAGGCCAGTTATCTAATTAGCATAATTTAAGCTCCATAAACACTTACACACTTACTGACTTTAATTCTGAAGTCTTTCTCCTTGTGTTTTGGAGCCAATTAATTTCTCTTCCCCGGTCTAAATCATTTGCACGGGTCCTTAGAAAGCTTCCACGCTGCGGGCAGCGGCCCTCACCTGTCTCTAAACCTCCCAGCTCCTGACACTTCCACACCCCCCACAGCTCAAGAGCTGTCTCTGCTTTCAAGGCCTTGGGTTAAGGCACAAACTCTCCAGCTCTGCAAAGATGACTTTTGTGCCCGGCCTCTGGCATTCCCTGGCTTTGTGTGCCATCTCTTGTCCTGTGTCCCAGCCGAGGGACCCACTTGTAAGGAATACCCTCCCTGTACACAAGTCTTTTCCACAAAAGAGGCTGCTACAGCCTCTCGTGGGCTTGTCTGACCCCCAGCTGGCCAATTCCCGCTCCCACTCCCAACTCACTCACAGCACGCCTCCTCTGGGAGCCCCTGGCCGGCGTCCCCAGGTAGCCTGTCCCTCCTCCTTTAGCATCTTCCAGGATGTCCACAGGACCCTCCCACGTCACATGTCCAAGGCCTGCCTCTTTCCTGCCTCGCCCCTCCCCTCTAACGTGGCCAGGCAGCGAGCCCTTCAGAACAGCTGGCATCCGTGCCTGAGCCTCCAGCTTCTCACCCAGGGCTCAGCACACAGCTGTTTCCAAAAAAGAACAGTGGAATCGCTGGAGTTCCAGTCCTCTCCCACTCCTTCCTACCCTCTCCAGTTTTACCCAGCCTTTCCTTGTGGCGGTCTGATCCAGTCTCACCAAGACAACCCGAGGCCCAGAGAGACGACGGGCCAAGGGAAGAAATACCGCCAATACTTATTAGTCTTCCTTTCTGCAGGTGGGCACTGGGTGACAGCTGCCAAAGTCAGCCTGCCCCTCGGCATGCTGCTGGGATGCAGACAAGATGCTGCGGCCACTACCCAGGTATAAACTCTCCGCTGGGGGCTGACAGCAGGCTCTGCCACTTACTATCGTCCAGCCTGGGCAAAGTTCTCAAACTTCCCAAGCCCAGGTCCTTCATGAAGGACAAACTATGGTGCGGCAAGGGAAATCACAAACATGAGACAGATTTCTGTGAGATCAGCACACACACACAGTAAACGCTCAAGAAGTGCTAGCCATTATCACACCATCATTACTCCGGGGCTAAAGAGCCAAGTCTCGGAGCAGGGCATTTTGCTAGTGGTTGAGACACCACTTGGGACATCTACATCCCAAACCGAAGTGCCAGGTTGGCTCCACTTCCGATTCCAGTTGCCTGCCGATGCACGCCTGGGAGACAGCAGGTGATGGCTGAAGGACTTGGGTCCCTGCCACCCCCATGGAAGACCTGGATCGAGTTCCTGGGTCCTGGCCCAACACCACTGTTACAGGCATTTGGGGACTAAACCAGCAGATGGGAGATGTATTCCCTCCCCACCACCCCCGCTTCCTTCCCTCTCCATTTCAAATAAAAAAATAAAAGTTTCCAACAAACCGAGTCCTAACCACAGCCTATGTTATGGGCTGGATCATGTGACCCTAAATCTGCATGTTGAAGTCCTAGCCCCCGGCACCTTGGAATGCGACTGCGTGTGGCCACCCTGCCTTTAAAAAGGTCATTTAAGCTGTAAGAGGTGGCTAAGGTGGCCCCGACCCAGTCTGACGCAGATACACATAAAAGACCACATGAAGACACAGGGAGAAGGCGGCTGCCCCCTAAGCCAGGGGGAGCCCTCAGAAGGAATCAACCCTGCCAACGCCTTGATCTCGGACTTCTGGACGCAAAAACTGTGAAAAACTGATTGCTATTGCCTAAGCCACCCAGACTGTGATATTTTGTCATGGCAGCTTCCACAAACTAAAGCAGCCTCGGTGCCTTCTCCCAATCTTCTCACTCCATTCTCCCAGCTGCCACAGTCTCCAGTTCCCTTACCAGCCTCAGGGCCTTTGCACATGCTCATTCCTCAGTCCACACCGCCCGACCCTCCCTGGCTCTCCTTTGCCTAGAAAACTCCTAGCCTTCCCTCTCGGGTCTCAGCTCAAACGCGTGATCTCAGGGACCCTTTCCAGACTCTCACGTGTCAGGTTTGTGATCATCCACTTATCTGTGAGACTTCCTGAGGCATGCTTGCCTTCCTGCTAAGTTCAATGAGCACAGAACCTGTTTCGCTCACTGTTCCACTACAGGGCCTAGCATAGCGCCTGGCAAATAACGGGCTCAACGGGTGTGTGCGGCTTGAAAAAATGCCCCCATCTCCCCACTCGGGGACTCTCCAACGCCTTCACGCCTCCCCCGCGCTGCCCACCTGTCTCGGAGGAGATGTTGACCTCGACACTGAGGTCCGGCACGGGCGCCCCGGGGAAGGAAGCCATGCACAGGTAGGTGCCGTAGTCGCTGAAGTGCAGGTCGATGAGCTCCAGGCTGCTGGTGACGGCCGGCAGCTCGGGGTCATTGCGGGTCACCAGCAGTCGCTTGGACATGCGCGCCGGCTTGCCGTTCTTGAACCACTGGTAGGTCACCTTCTCCTGGGGCACTGCGTCCACGTGGCAGGACAGCTTCAGGTCCTGGCCCAGCTGTATGTTCTCACTCTCCTTGATCATATCAGGAGTGATCTGGAACGTGGCGTTCTTCATGGCTGCGTGCGGACAGGAGGGAACAGTGGCCGGGGCTGGCCCAGAGCCAGGGGTCCATGTTCTGGCCCTCCCGGGTGCTGGAGACTCCCCTCTACCAGGAGAGCCCCCAGCACTTTCCTCGGCTTGGAAGTTGCTCTGTCTGCTCAGATGTTTTAAAAAGTTGGACAAAGCTCACTGCAGGAAAGCAGGTTTCCTGGTAACCATGACCCTCAGGGCTCGAAGCTCGTCACACGGATTTACTCACTCAACACGCCCTGCAATCTTCAAGGTGTCTTTACTGGCCCATTTTACAGAGGGGGCAACTGAGGCTGGAGCTGTTTAAGTAACCTGCCCCCACGTCACCACTTTCGAACTCCAGTCAGAGCCTGCAGACTCTTGATTGCTATGCTGCTTTATTTTTATTGTTTTAAACCTTGAATATGCAAATTAGAAATATGGAAGAATGTACCAGAATATAACACTGGTTCTAAGCAGAGAGTTGAACTGAGGGTAACTGAATCTAATCTGTACATTTTACCCTTTATGCTGTTCGATTCCTTGCAACTAGTTGGTGTAACTTTTATATATAAAAGGTCAATACAATTATTTACATGCAATTGCATAAAAACACAGGGTTGGGAAAGAAAAGGGTCTGGCCTCTTTAGAAAGACTTGGATTGTGTTTGAAGCAAGCCAAGAGTTAAGAGCTTTTTTTTTTTTTTTTTTTTTTTTTTTTTTTTTTTTTTTTGACAGGCAGAGTGGACAGTGAGAGAGAGAGACAGAAGAGAAAGGTCTTCCCTTTGGCCGTTGGTTCACCCTCCAATGGCCGCCGCGGCCGGCGCGCTGCGGCCGGCGCACCGCGCTGATCCGATGGCAGGAGCCAGGAGCCAGGTGCTTTTCCTGGTCTCCCATGGGGTGCAGGGCCCAAGCACCTGGGTCATCCTCCACTGCACTCCCTAGCCACAGCAGAGGGCTGGCCTGGAAGAGGGGCAACCGGGACAGAATCCGGCGCCCCGACCGGGACTAGAACCCGGTGTGCCGGCGCCGCTAGGCGGAGGATTAGCCTAGTGAGCCGCAGCGCCGGCCTGAGTTAAGAGCTCTTAATGGGCTGGATGGGACCCTGGCACAACAGCCACGAGCCAGGACTGCACTTGGCAAAGCAGGCTGCATAGGCACCCGAGTGTGGCCTAAGCACTGGGTGTCAATTAGAGCTCAACAGCCAGGGCTTTAAAGGCTACACGGAATTACGTGGAGAAAAGTAGTCTTCCGATGGGAAAGAACCATCGGTGGGAAAAGCAGTCATCAGAGAGCCACAGTCTCATTTTGATTAACAAGTCATGGAAAGGGGCCGGCGCTGTGGCACAGTGGGTAAAGCTGCCGCCTGCAGTGCCAGCATCACATATGAGCACCGGTTCGAATCCAGCTGCTCCACTTCCGATCCAGCTGCCTGCTAATGCGCCTGGGAAAGCAGCAGAGGGTGGCCAAAGTCTTTGAACCCCTGTACCCATGTGGGAGACCCAGAGGAAGCTCCAGGCTCCTGGCTTCAGACCGGCCTAGCTCCAGCCATCACGGCCACTTGGGGAGTGAACCAGCAGATGGAAGACCTCTCTCTCTCTGCCTCTGTCTCTCTGTAACTCTGCCTTTCAAACAAATAAATAAATTTTTTTACAAGAAGAAGCAGTCATGGGAAGCCAGCTTCTCTCCGTGAGGAGCGTCAGAAACAGCCTGGTCAGTCAGTGGGGGATGAACAAAGAGCCTGTCCTCAGAGGTGCTCCACTGAATTCAACAGCTGTGCTTGCAAGTACTAAAGAAAGCAGCCTGGGTCTTTGAAAGAAAGGAAAAAGACCTAAAGCTGCAAAAGCAAAAGAATTCAAAGTTTTCTTCTTAAATGACAACAGCGAAATCCAGATCAGAGGGAGCAGCTAATGATGACTCTGAGGCTGAGGTTTAGTAAGGGAAATGTGTCTCCTTCGGTAGTCCAGCCTCCAAGTTTTGTGTATTTCCACACTTAGCAATTGTCTTCAGGTATAATTAAATGCTTTGCTCATACAGATTTATCTATATGGAACTGTGTGTTCTTTTCACTTAAATTCAGTTAATAATGAAGAAACCACTGTGCAAAGAGAAAGCCAAGAAATTTCCCTGCTGGTCCAGAATGTCCACATTTAGCTTTTACTGCAGCCTCAGTTTCCCTATTTAAAAACAAAAAGTAGGTAATTACCACCAGCCCTTCCTACTTCTCGGATTGCTGAGGTTAAGTTGGGAAATGCCAATTGCAAACTATACACAAACTTTTACACCTGTGCGGATCCTCCTGCCATCTGCTAGCAGACAGCTGAATTGTGGATAGAGCAAAGTTCTTGGGGACAAGCCTCCTCCACATATGTCCCCTACCAAAGGGAAGCAGGCAGGCCCCTGTCCCAGCTCCTGGTGGCTCCTGGAGGCCAGGGTCCCCACCTGCCTCACAAGGTCCCTCCCAGCCCTCCCAAGGCCACGTACATCGCACGAGCAGGTTGACCGTCTTCTTGGCAGGGTTGCCCACGTTGTTGGTGGCTGTGCAGTTGTAGTAGCCAGAGTCCCGGGCCTGCACCGAAGGGATGCTGAGGATGCCACCCTGGGCCAGAGCACCCAAGGGCAGTGGGCCGGGCCCGTGGGACCACTGCAGCTGGGGTAGGGGATCGCCGCCCATCAGCAGACACTGCACCGTCACGTTCTCCCCAGGGTTCACCACCAGCGTCTCGTTCACGGACAGCTTCAGGGCTGGCGGTGCTAGGGGAACAAGGAGGTGGGATCTTAGGAAAGATGGATGGGGAGAAGACAGGGAGCCAGGCAGAGGGGCTGGGGAGGCACCATCTCCTCGTCGGGAGGTTGATCCGAGTAGGCAAGGGGTACGGGTGGGCAGGTGCCTGTACCTGTGGTGTTGGTGAGCCGGAAGGTGATGGCCTTGTCTGGGATGCCACACACATTGCGCACAGACACCTGGCAGGTGTAGCTGGCGTAGTCCTGGGGCCGCAGGTTCTTCAGCTTCAGAACCTTGGTTTCCCCCTGGGCAGCAAGGACCACTGGGGTGAGGGGCTGCTTGAGTCTCCCAGGAACCCTGCCACTCCCCCTCCGGCTTCAGAGGCTATGGCCAACTCCTGCTCTCAATCCCATCCCCACCTCCACCCACCGCGGGGCTCTGAGCCTGGGCTTCTCTGCACCTGAGGCTGCCGGGGTGCACTCTGGGGGACCAGGACTCAGCATTGCCATTCTGGGACATGTTGGGGTGAGGAGGCAAACCTGCTGTGTGTCACAACCCACACAAACACGAGGTTGACCCTCGGAGAGCCTTCCCTGGCAGGACGGCATCACCCCCATCACTTGGGGCTGCAGGGGCCATGGGAAGAGAACGCATCTCTTTGTTCCCAGCCCTTGTGTGTCTGTGCACAGCTTCCCAACCCTTGGCCAGCCAGCGGTGGGCAGGGATGACTGGCCTGTCTCTAGGGTGCCTTTTCCTAACCAGCAACACCCGGGGAGCACATGCTTCCCCAGGGACGCTCCCATCCTCATCGCTGCTCCCTGACCATTAATCCCTGTTTTTTTCTGCCCAGGCTGTGTGAACTCCAATCCAAATGCGTGCTCCCCAAGTCTGGGCCCCCAGGATTCCCTCCCTCGTGGGTGCACCATTGGGAGGGTGGGGCGAGCCAGCTGCCCGTCCTGACCTGGGTGTAGAGGGGTTCGTAGATGTCGACCCCATTGTCCTGGCTGTGGGACAGCGTGTCGGAGCCGCGCTTCCAGATGAAGCGGGCGGGCGGGTTGGAGTTGACCGTGCAGCGCAGGAACACCGTCTTCTCCTGGTAGAAGTTGCCCCGCACGTCGCTCACCGTCTGGTGCACAGTGAGCACCGGCTCGTCCAGGTCTGCAAGGCGGGGTCAGCACGCAATCAGGAAGGGGCGACCCCAAGGAGACTTGGGTACTTGGCAGCCCACAGCCGAGCTGCCCCCAAGGGGGCACTTCCAGGGAGCCATGTGTCCCCCCCAGGCCCTATTTGCTAGACCAACCCATTGGAGGCAGGGGTCTGCATCCGATGGCTTCCCAGACTCGCCCCAGCCATCCCTCCCCAGAGACCTGCCTCGGGGTGCCTAGCTCTATGCCTTCCCACCACGGGGTGGAGAGAGCAGCTGCAGCCTGGAAACCAGGAAACCCGGTTCCTTTGTAGTGGGACCTGCCTAAGTCCCTTATCTCTCCGGGCCTTAGTGCCCACATTGGAAAATCAGACAAGTTTGGTGGCTCTCAGCCCTGTTTGTATGCAAGAACCACATGGAAATGTTCCTTTTACTACTGAGGCCTGGCTAAGGCTATTGATGATGTCAGAGGCCAGAACGCGGCTTGTCTCAGGGGGTTACTGACGGGAGAGGGCACGAGGGAACTTTCCAAGGTCCTGGACATGCCTTGAACTGGATGGCGTTCACACACACACACACACACCCATGCACACACACACACGCACACGCATACACACAACCAATGAAATGTACACTTCAGGTGTACTCTACTGGATGTAGGTTAATCCTCAATTTTTAAAGAGTTTAAGGAAAAATGCTGATGTCAGTCCCCCTCCTCCATCCATTCCATCAGAATCCCGAGGTGGGGGAGGGCTGAGCATCACCGTTTTTTACAGATTCCCCCTAGAGATTCTCCTGTACGCCAGGGTTGTGAACCACAGGCACCAACAGTCCACATCCCAACACCCTACAATGGATGTCCTACATCCTACAATGGAGAACCCCACAGCCCACCTGAACAGAAGCCTTAGCCAAGGCCAGGAGTGCAGGTGGTCAGTGGGGAGGCTGCCAGTCCCTCCCAGCACCAGTGACCCTGGAAATGACCTCAGTCACTGACGAGGGACATGAATGAGACCCAGGGCACCACTGTGCACAGGTAACAGGTAGGATGGCCACACAGGTGGTGGCACGCAGCGACAGAGGCTCCTGGGGCTAACACAGAGCGAGGTAGGGGCTGGAGCACTTCCATTCAACCAGCAGCGAGGACTGAGGGTGTGTGGTCCTTCCTACGGGTGGCAGGGAAGGCTCGGCGCTGACCCTGGGGCCAAGCTGAGATGTGAGGACTGTAGGAGACCCGTCCTCAGCTAGATCCACGCCTGCAGACGTATCCCACGTGGTACCTTGGTTTCCTCATCTGTGAAAGGGGCAGTATCCAACCCATCCTGCTGCCCTGGCCGCCTTGCTGGGTGTCTCAAGGCCATTCGGGATTAGGTGGGACTGTGTAAAAGGTACAGGGAGGTACACAGCCGAGGGAGAGCAGAACCACCCCTCTGGGCTCCAACAGAGGAGGGTGCTATTGTCTTGCTCTCGCCGATTGCCCCTTTTCCATGCCCACTCCTCAGTTGAGCCCCCCCACCCCACTCCACCCCGAGCAGCCCCCTGGGGCTCCGGGAGGGCCTCCACTCACACTGCACGTCCACGCGGATGGACTTGATGGCCGGCACGCCCACGCCGTTCTCGGCCTTGCAGTAGTAGCGGCCACCCTGCGTGCGTGCGATGCGCTCAATGCGCAGAGTCTCGTTAAACACCGACGTCTCCTGGAACTTGTCCGATGCGCTGCCCGCCGTCTTGGTCCACCGCACCTGGGCCAGTCCGGGCAGGGCAGGGTCAGATCCTGCAGGAGGTGGGGACACCTCGGGGCTGGACACCCTGCAACAGCCCCCTGCCACGGCTGCCTGTGGGGTGCAGGCAGGCCTAGGAAAGGGACCCATGCAGACTGGCCACGATGCACAGACGGGTCAGGCGGCTGCACAGGGAAGGGCCTGGGGAACCCAGGTCAGACTACGGGAGTGCACACCACACTGGCTGGCTGCAAGGGTAAGACTCTGATAACATTGTTATTCCACTTCCTGGCTCGGCAGCCTGGGGTAGCTCACTTGTCTCAGCTGTGAGAGGCGGCTGTGCTAGCCAGCTTGCAAGATGGCCTCCTGGGCCTCACACCCTCCTGTCCTGGGCAGGGGTGTGTGTGACCAGTGATACAGAGCAGGAAAACAGCAATAGTGCGTCACCGCCAACATTAGCAGTCAAAGGGGGACTTCCGCCCTGGTGCCTCTCTCAGGTCACTTGCTCTGGGGAAAGCGGCTCACACGTCCTGCGTGGCCTCTGGAGGGGCACTTAGGGGGAACAGAGTTGGCATGGACATGGGTCCTCCAGCCCTAGGCATCCTCAGCCGACTACATCCCTGGCGGATACCTTGACTGCAGCCTTGGGAGAGACCCTGGTTCTGGCCAAGTGGTGCCCGAATTCCTGTCCTTTCAAAGGAACTGTGGGAGAGAGAGATCGTTGCTTTCAGCTCCTGAATTTTGGAGTATTTGTTATGCAGCAATAACTAATGGGAGGGTACCTCAAAAAGTTCACAGAAAATACAGTTAAAGCTAAGTCTGGAGCGGGCATTTGGTGCAGTGGTTAAGAGGCCACTTAGGGGAGCCGGCGCTGTGACGTAGCGGGTAAAGCTGCCACCTGCAATGCTGGCATCCCATATGGGTGCCGGTTTGAGTCCCAGATGCTCCACTTCCGATCCAGCTCTCTGCAATGATCTGGGAAAGCAGTAGAAGATGGCCCAAGTCCTTGGGCCCCTGCACCCACATGGGAGACCCGTAAGAAGCTCCTGGCTTCAGATTGGCTCAGCTCTGGCCATTGTGGCCATTTGGAGAGTGAACCAGCAGATGGAAGACCTCTCTCTCCCTCCCTCCCTCCTTCCCTGTGTGTGTGTGTGCATGTGTGTGTGTCTGTAACTCTGCCTTTCAAATAATAAACAAATAAATCTTTAAAAAAAAAAAAAAGAGGCTACTTAGGTCACCTGCATCCCATATCACAGTGCCTGTGTTCAAGTCCCAGCTCCATTCCTGATCCCAGTGCACTGCTAATGCTCACCCTGGGAGGCAGCACGTGATGGCTCAAGCACTTGGGTCCCTGCCACCCACATGGGAGACCCAGATGGAGTCCCTGGCTCCTGGCTTCAGGTTGACCTAGTCCCCCGCTGCTGTGAACACTGGGAGAATAAACCAGAAAATGGAAGCTCAGGCTCTCTCTCGCTCTTGCTCTCTCTCTCTCTCTCTCTCTCCCCCTGCCTTTCAAATAAATAAATAAATTTTAAACCTAAAAGGTAAGTTTATTTTGTCGCCAAAAAGAATTTTTGAAATCCTATGTATGAGGGGTCTATGGACATGAATATTATAAGGAGCTGCATGGATTTCAAAAATGTTGGAAAGGGCCACAAATATGGTTTTTTTGTTTGTTTGTATGCGATGTTTTAGGGCTTTGTTGTGGTTTGTGTGGATGGAATTTGTTTACACGTCACTCAAGGCTAGTTTTCTCCATCTGAGAGTTCCTAGCTTTCTTTAGTCCCACACAAATCTCAGTCTTTCTCTCTGTCTCCCCTAGCCTCCTTCTGGCGTGCCTGCATCTGTTGTAGCTCCTCGTTCATCACTTTTCTACATCTTCCATCTCTGTCTTCTCCAGCCTGCATAATGGCTGACTTCCCTAGACCATCCAATTCACTAATTTTCTTTTTAGCTAGCTCTAGGGTGTTGAGCCCAAATTTTTGAAAGTTTATTTATTCGTTTTTATCTGAAAGGAAGAGAGAGCGAGAACAAGTCAGAACCACTGGTTCACTTCCCAAAATGCCTGCAACAGCCAAGGCTGGGCCAAACCAAAGCCAGGAGACAAGAGCTCCATCCAAGTCTCCTCAACAGGTGGCAGGGGCCCAACCACCTTGAGCCATCACCTGCTGCCTCCCAGGATCGCATTGGCAGGGAGCTGGATGGAGAGCAGAGGTGGGACTTGGTGTGGGCGATATGCATGTGGGTGTCTGAGCAGCAGCTTAACCCACCGTGCTTCAACACCCACCCCTGAGGCCACATTATCTTACGGACTGTATCACTTTTATATCTTGGAGTTCTATTTGCTTTGCCCGTATCTGAGTCATCAGTTTTATCACGTCCTGCCTTACAGACTGCATTCCTTCCAGGATTCCCCCTAATATTTCAAACAGACTTATTTTGAATTGCCTTTCAGGTTGCTTTATTTTCCCTATTGTAGCTATGAATTGGTCGATTTGCTGGGTCTATGGACTGGTTCTCCTAGCAGTGTATTTTAAAATGTGTTTCAAAATGTTCTCTGTGGGCTCATATTCCGTGGGATTATCTTCCACGGAAGTCCCACTGGGGCCCTTCCAGGCCTGTCTGTGATGTGGTTTTTTTTGGTTGCCTATGCCCAAGATAATGGGTTCAAAGATTCTGGCCAGTTTTCATGCTAGTTTCTCAACATAGGGCTCCCTTGCCATCTGGATACTGCAAGGCCCAGGTGTAGGATTAAGCTGTCTCCTAGGTAACTTTGCATCCACGCCCTGGAGCAGAAAGTCTGTTTCCTGCTGGGACCCTGGGCTGGGGGCCAGAAACCTCCTGGTCCCACTCACAGGTGGTGCCATTCTTGTTGTGCGTCCAGCTTTAGGCTGAGTCCAGTTCTACCTCCCATGCAGGGATGGACCTGTGGCCTCAACGCCCAACTCCCCTCACGTTTGTATTAAAGGACTATGGTGTGGGTGCAGCGCCAGCTTCTCCACGGCCCAGCTTCTCCAACAGCTGCTCACTGCCATTGCTATAGACGCCCTCTGCACTCCCCCCTGCTCTTGTTCCTCGTCTGGAGTGAGGAATTCCATGTCCACTGGGCCCCCATCCTGACCATAACGTGGGCCAGGAGATGATGCGTCCCCTATGAGGCTGGATGCCACGCGAGGGCAGGAGCTAGAGCCACGTCTTCGGGAACCACCCCCGTGGTCGGCACGCAGCAGGTGCTCAACACAGGCTGGTGGTCACAAAGCAAGCAGAAGAGAAGGCAGAAGGCAATTCAGGAAAGGTAAGCACAGTGGCTAGCGCAGGAGCAAAGCAGGTACACCTGGAGCAGCAAGTGTGCTCACAGCACAGGGCATAAGGTGGGTGGCCTGGGAGGCAGGGCAGGAGAGGCAAGTGCAGACCAGGTTACAGAAGGTCTTCAACCCCACGCCAGGAGCGTGACTGGGTTTGGTTAGTGACGGGGGAGCCTCTAAAGATTTCTGAGCAGGGAGCGATAGGACAGAGTAGGCTGGGTATAAGCACACTCCTGAATGCGAGGTGGGGAGAGGCAGGAGGCTGGGAGGCCAGTTCTGCGCCTACTGCAGTGGTTCAAGGGACAGGCGCAGAGGTATGACCTGGGGATGTAATATGAGGAGCAGAGAGGGAGGAGAGCCATGCAAGAGCTATTGATAGAACACCTGTGAGCCCGCTGAGATGTGGAGAGCGAGAGGGGGCAGAGCCAAACATGAGCCCAGGATGGAAACACAAAGTCAAGCTCATGTGCACAGAGGCATGGCCATGAATCACTCATGCATGGGGACAGCCAAGGGGCCGCCCAGAGGTGGCCAGTGCAGCCCGGGCTTCCCGGGAGGCCTTCGCCACCTTCATGGCCACCCCGACCTCTATCTGCGGCGCTGGTTTCACTTCTAGACAAGCTTTGAGAAGCTGTAGGCAGCGGTTAGGGTTTCAGGTGCAAAGAGTCTTCCAGGCCAGCGCCTCAGCTCACTTGGCTAATCCTCTGCCTGTGGCACCAGCACCCCGGAGTTCTAGTCCCGGTCGGGGCGCCGGTTCTGTCCCGGTTGCTCCTCTTCCAGGCCAGCTCTCTGCTGTGGCCCGGGAGGGCAGTGGAGGATGGCCCAAGTGCTTGGGCCCTGCACCCGCATGGGAGACCAGGAGGAAGCACCTGGCTCTTGGCTTCGGATCAGCACAGTGCGCCAGCCGCAGCGACCACTTGGGGGTGAACCAACGGAAAAAGGAGGACCTTTCTCTGTGTCTCTCTCTCTCACTAACTCTGCCTCTCAAAAAAAAAAAAAAAAGAGTCTTCCAGAGCTTCCTCTCTCTCTGCTTGTCTCACAGCCAGACCTACTGACGCCACTCCTCCCCCCCAATATCCAGAAAAAGGATTTTGTGCTCCACTGTCCTTCCAGGATCCAACTGCCTCCTCTCCTGCTGCTCCGAATATTAAAGATCCTATCACATTCCCTCCCTCCCTCCACCCCCACCACCCCGCTCGCCCTGCCCCCTCCCGTCAGCTCTCAAGCTCCGTGCACTTGGCCAGCCGGTCACACACTCCACCGAGCGCTCCCGGATACTCCGATACTTGGCTTCCGGGTCTCCGAGCCTCCGAAGCACAGCGCGTGCCTGCCAGAAGCTTTGGCAAGCAGACCCTGGGTTGTCGGTCACCCGTGCAGCCCCCAGCCCAAAGATGGAGACGCTGGGAGGTGGGGTCCTCGGCGGCGGAGAACTCTGGTTCTGGCTTCAACCTCTGCTCCCACCCTCTCAAGGGCCGTGTGACCTGCAGCGTTCACCCGACCTCCCCCTCCCCAGCCTGCCGTGAAGTGGGGACTCCAACAGTGCCTCCCCCACGGCTAGGCTATAGGGAGAAAGCAGTTACCAGGCGGTGGCCGAAGGAGCATCTAGGGAGGGGTCTGCTCCCTGCGGGGCTCACAGCGCCCCCCTCCGCCGCCATCAGGGTTTGCGGCTGAACCAGCCCACGGCCGCCAGCCCCTCCCCAGGGATGTGGGAGGCCATGTCCCAGCCACTGGCCTTCTTCCCTCAGGGGGTGCTTACCTGGGGTCGCGGGTGCCCGGTGAGCAGGCACTGCAGCACGAGCGTGTCCCCCTCCCTGATGGTGTAGACGCGCTCACTCACGTTGTCCTCCTTCACCACGCACGCCTGGCCTGCGTGCACGATCTGCGCCTGCGCTGGAGCTGGTGGGACCAAGAGCCAGGCCGGAGGTTTACACCCGAGGCCGGGAGCGCCGGACCTGAGCTGCCCTCCCAGGACGTCCTCTGCCCAGGAAAGAACCTCCCGGCCAGGGTGCAGGCCAGCAGTGGAGCTGGGGAGAGACCCGTGCTCCCTAGCCAGCTCAGGCGTCTGCACATATCCGTTACTGCTCCTGCTGCAGCGCCTGGGGGACGCGGGGTGCAGCAGCACCCCTTCCCCAGGGGATCGCCCACGGCCAAAAGGAGCTGCTTAGCCACAAATGCCTGGCGATTTCCATTAGAAAAACAGGAGAAGAAATAAGAACGCGCCCAGGAGGTGACCCCCCTCCCCAACACACACACAAGCACGCTCAGGCACACTCGTGTGCACACTCACGCACATGCGCACACACACATTGAAGGTGGGGTGACCCTGGCACTGCCGCTGTCCGCAGGCTCCCCCTGGGCACAGGCCGAGGCTGACCCTCCTAGGCCCCAGCTGCGCTCGCCTGCTTCCCTCGGTTTCTCCTGAGAGCATTTTCTCAACAAGTCGCTTGCCGCAGCCACAAACCCCAGGCTGCCCCAGCCACATCAGGCTCACCTCCCGACAGCCTCGCCCAAAGCCCCGCGCCGCAGGTCGCCCCTGCCTCTCCCCCCGGGGCCTGCTCCTTGTCTCTCTGGGCTCCCTGAGCCCGTGCCCAGCTTCATCACCAAGGCACAGAGTCCTGGGGGTTGTGGGGGGCTGGCAGCTCTCAGGGTACTGTAGCTCCACCCCTTTGACCTCTCACAGCGCCCAGGGCTGGGGGACCAAGCCTAGGACATGGCTAGGAAAGTGACTGAATTTGCCGGTGTCACAGCCCCTCCCTGGTGTCCAGCCCCATCGTCCTAAAGGCAGACCAGCCCCTGCATCGCAGCACCCAGGCACTGGGAAGGAGGGAGACAGCCCCAACCTCACACCCGCATGCTTAGGGCTGTCACAGGGCATGAGGGACACAAGGGACTACAGAGAGTTCGTGCCCTGCAGCTGTAAGATACCATACGTAGCTTCCTCCAGGAAGCACGCCATGATCGACAGGCATGCTCCATCCCTCTGTAGCCCGAACGGGCAGCACTCCCATGGTGCAATAAGGAAGAGTCAGGCCTGTGTGTCCAGCAGATTCAGCCTGCCTCTCTTTCAGCCCACCAACCCCTGAGCACAAGGCCTCGACCATGGCAGGCCATGAAGGAGACCTCCCACAAGGAGATCCTTGAGAAGGTACCAGAAGGTCAGAGGAGAGAGACAACCCCCCACACACACCCCGTCTGCTGGAGGAGGAACCACAGAGGGCTCCAAGGAGGAGGCAGCCTCTGAACCAGGCCTGCTAACTCGCACTGTGGTATGTCACACAGAAGCCTGCGCTGAGGGCACAGACATGAACCGACCAGAGGCAGCCTGGCAACACACTGGGCAGCGACAGGGGGTGACACCGGCCGTGCTTCTCCATGAAGCCCTCTGCCAACGGAAGCAGGCTCTGCAGCCAGTGACAGCTGCCAACCACCCAGAATCTGGGCTCCAAGTGCCTGGCTCCCACAGAGAGGCTGTGTGACTCTGGGGAGGTCCGTCCACCTCTCTGAGCCTGGGACATGGACTGGATGACTTCTGGGGTCTGCTTGAACTTGCTTTGCATTTTGCAGTCAGCACACAGTCCCTGTACAAGATGCACCCTCGGGTCTGAGGACTGAGCCTGAACCTGTCGGCTCCGGCGGGGAAAATGTGTGAGCATCACCGTGCGTGGAAGGGACAGCCATCTGCGGCCAAGGACCCCAGGAAACCTCGTCCAAAAAAGACCCCCTAAGAGAGGACGCACATGCCAGTCGCTGATAAGCCCACGGCCCGCGTGGACGTCTGCGCGAGGCCTGGGGTGCTTCTCGGTGAGGAAGACATCTGTTTAGCAGGCTCTGGTGCGAGATAAGCTGCAATCTCGGGTACTGGGGCTTGCCCGGGGCGAGGCAGCGTTGTAATGACAGAAGCTCTGGTGACTGATAAGCAACGCTGAAAAGGAGCTGGCGAAGAGGCTGGGCGCAGGTAGCACGGGACCGTTCCGCTCTGGCACAGCCTCCAGGAAGGACGGTTCCCAGTGGCTACTGCAGCTGACCGAGTATTATGCAGCTGACCTGCTCCTGGGGATGCACCCCAAAGAGAAGCGCGCTTCTGACAATCCCACAGCAAGGCGCAAGCATCTTCCCAGCAGCTTTATTTCTAACGGCGACACACAGGACCGATCAACACGTCCCTCAGCGTGGCAAGGGCAATCCAATCCGGGTACTTTTATGTAATGGAATATCACACGCAAGTGAGAGAAAAAGGCACTACTGAGCTGGTGTTGATGCCAGCATCCCATACCCAGGCGCCAGTTCAAGTCCTGGCTGCACCACCTCCAATCCAACTCCCTGTGAATGCACCTGGGGAAGCAGCGGAAGATGGCCCAAGTATCTGGGGCCCTGCTACCCACATGGGACACCCAGAAGAAGCTCCTGGCTCCTGGCTTCAGCCTGGCCTGGCCTGGCCCTGGCCATTGCAGCCATTTGGGAAGTGAAGCAGCGGATGGAGGATCTCTCTCTCTCTCTCTCTGTCACTGTCAGTGTCTCTCTCTGTTTCAAATAAAATAAAATGAATCTTTTTAAAAAGTGAACTACCAATTGAGGTGACTCTGGACTCTCCCGGTCCCAATCTGGGTCACAGACCCCCGACGGAAAGGAGCATAGTGTAGGAACACACGCATTCAGAATTCAAAACTGGACAAAGGGAGCTTACAGCAATAGAGGCCCTAGGATTGGGCGGGGTGGGCACAGGAGAGTCTTCTAGGGAATAGCTGGGGTCCTGTCTGGCGGATGTCTTGACACACGTGGCGGCGACGCGGGTGGGTGAACACATGTATAAAAAACGTGCCCAGGTATTGGCTGAAGATGGCGCCCTAAGTGACCATTCCATTTACGAAAGAGAACGCCTTCTGTCACCGACGGAGAGACTGCATGGTGGTCCAGAAGCCATCACAACGATGGCTCCCTTCATCCCGGTTCCCACCTGATGAGCCCCTTCCCACTACCGACTCGGCTCAAGGCACGGATTCTCCTTCCGGACGGAGCACTTGCTGGTAGCAGACACCTGCACCCGCTTGGCCCTGGCATTTCGGCTTGCCCCACCCCATACACACACACCTTAAGTCTCATGAACGCGACTCGGCCCCTCCTAGACTCTGCTCGCCTTGGGAATGGCGGGGAGGACTCCGCACCCCAATTCCCCCCTCCACTGCAGCCTCCAACACCATACACAGCGGCAGCAATGGCAGCATCTGATTGGAAAGGCAACCAGACAGGGCTCTAGAGAGCACTGGTGGGGAACCATGGAGCAAGTGAGGGAGCACTATGGACGGCTTCGCCGACTCCAGAGCAGGGGCGAGAGCCTGGAGCAGTGCGCAGAGGTGAGGTCTTCCCCGGAGAGCCACAGGGAGCAGGGCTGTGGAGTCCGACATTCCGGGACTCGATCCCTGCTCTGCCGCCCTCTGGCTGGGTGACATGCGGCAAGTGCCCTGACCTCCCTGAGCCTTGGCATCAGTGAAACACAGACAGTGGTGCCTTCTCCCGTGGCTGGAGTGATGGTTGAATACCACGTGGGTAAGACAGCTGTGCTCTCTCAATAAATGACAGCGCAGGCCGGCGCCGCGGCTCACTAGGCTAATCCTCCGCCTTGCGGCGCCGGCACACCGGGTTCTAGTCCCAGTTGGGGTGCCGGATTCTGTCCCGGTTGCCCCTCTTCCAGGCCAGCTCTCTGCTGTGGCCCGGGACTGCAGTGGAGGATGGCTCAAGTGCTTGGGCCTTGCACCCGCATGGGAGACCAGGAGAAGCACCTGGATCCTGGTTCAGATCAGCGCGGTGCGCCGGCCGCAGCGCGCCGGCCATTGGAGGGTGAACCAACGGTAAAGGAAGACCTTTCTCTCTGTCTCTCTCTCTCACTGTCCACTCTGCCTGTCAAAATAAATAAATAAATAAAATAAATGACGGCGCAGGCAGCGTTTACAATAGGAGCCAGAGACGGGGAGAGGAGACTGCAGAGGCCTGCCCCAGTGCCCTCAAAGCAGACACTGGCAGACACGTCCCATGAAACATTCAAGATTCACACTGAGGGCTAAGCAGGGCTGCGAAGTTCGAAGAGAGGTCAGCGAGAGGGAGCCCCTTCCCCATCTCCCTCTTACAATCCCAGCACACTTAGCTGTGTGGCAGCTCACACAAGCCTCAGTTTTTCTCATCTGTAAAATGGGGTTGTTGTGAGGACCAAAGAAGTAACCTGGCATCAAGGATCACAAATAGTGCCTGCTCTGCCAGAAGCAATGTGGACACGCCAGCCTGTGCTAGCATCCCACAGATGACCCTGCTTCCCAGGGTCCATCGCCCACCTCGAAGCTCCAGACCTCAGTTATGAGGCAGAGAAGCAGACACCTAATCGAGTCACTCTCTCCGACAGCGGCAGAGCCAGGACTCAAACCCAGGTCCTCCATCTGCTAGGCTGGGGCTCTGGTCACTGTCCCAGTCCTCCAGGGACCACCGCCTCCAACCTCCCTTGTATCCTCGGTGGGCTGGGGTGGGGGTGGGAAGAACATGTTGCAATGCAGATTCCCAGGCCTTGCGGCAGCAACACCTCCTAATCTTACTCTTTAGGGGAGGGGTCTCTGAGTTTGCGCTGGGAACAGGCTCCCGGGGGGACCTCGGAGGCACCCTTGGATCTGACCCTCTCTGCTCGGTAGCACACTGGTAGACAGGAAACTGACCAGGATGCTGGAACAAAATATGAGTTCAAGTCTCTGCTCCGTGAGATTTTCTCCCCCACTCTCCCAAGCTCTGCCAACAAAACCTCCTGGCGAAGGGAACCAGCGTCTGACAGCCAGCGGCCAGCCACCGGGGGTCGCCACGCCCTCTGCCCGTCGGAGGCCCGGCACGGAATGTGCTGTATTAAACTCCAACAAGTCCCC